AAAAAAAAAAAAAAAAAAAACGAGTAGGTAATTCCAATCCGTGATTTTGACAAAAAATTTTACTTATAATGGAACCAGTAAAACAAAAAAAACTCATTTTCTGTACTGTCTTACTAGCATCTCTGTATCCGCGAATGAACAGGAGGAATACATAACAATGCTCTCAGAACCGGTCTAGGTATCACACAAAAAAGCTGGATCGTTCACGTATCCCTTCATAACTTTGCAAAAAAACAGTCTTAACAGCATATAAAAACGTAAAATGAGCACAGAAAATGCAGTGAAACACACGAAAGAACAACTTTCGGGAAAATTTTAGATTCATGAAGATTAATTGTGTCTGAAGTAATACGCACACTGGCAAAGTGTTCCGGTCCACCTGATTCAGGCGCTTTCCACTACACCGAACTGGCGAATTTGGAGATAAAATTACTCATACATAATTTTTCCTTTATATAACTATTTGTTTACTAATTTATTTTTATTTATATAAACGAAAAAAAGTATTATGTGAAGAATAACAAAACTGAACCTGAAAGTCACCGACAGCGAGTCATTAGCTCACTTCTTCTGACGCCGCGCCGAAAGGTAAAGACAACTACACTAAAGCAATATAGAAAGTAAACAACTAGAGACTTTCAGAATACATCTCACGAAATTATGATAACAGCAACAACAATAAAGGTACAACCGCTTTTAGTGATATCGCCATACAAAAAGAAACTGTTCATGAACAATACCAGTCAATTTTAGAGCAACACTGAGGAATGTACTTTAAAGTGCTCAAACTAGTAACACTCAAAGCACGTAAAGTGCGACTAAACAATATAAATAAATCAATTCTAGTTCCACTTTGTTCCTTGCAAGAAAAAAAAAAGAAAAAAAAAGTTCTGAGCGTATTGAGGCATTGCCCCTCTCATAATCAGTAAATGCAACGCTACTGCCAGCAAAATTTGTGCTTACCGAAAAATATAAGCAAAGGAATAGGAGTACTAAATTACAAAGAGAGTGTTGGTAAAAGTGAATTATGGAATGTTCTTTATTTTCATCTTTGAATATATTAACAGCATTGAACAAATCGAGAGAAAAATATCGGTGAGAAATAAAAAAATGATCGAAAAATACCAGCACCCGCTTTGAATAACTCTCATTTTTTCCAATTCCCGAGCAGTTCAGTATGCAAAATAATACTCTCTAGTGATTAAAAAAGCACCAGAACCTCAGATCGCAAATCACTTTTCAAATGAACCGCTCTAAGCTACGAATCACAAGTAACACCCTATAACTTACTGGAGCGGTAGCGCTGCTACGTAAACCGCTACCACATGCATTACTTTACGAGCAGAAAAATAAACAAAGTCCCTCAAAGAAAAGTTTTGAGGATAATAACCAGCATGAGTAAGCATCAAATAATGGAAAGAAAAACCCAGTTCAAGAACGGAAGCATTTGACAAAGTAGTCTCTTTTTGCAAAACTACTATTTTACTTAAAAAGCAAACTCAGGATAAAAGAATTTAAGCGGCAAGATACTTGGAATATACCAGTCCAAATGACAACTTGAAGATGAAGCCAGAGCACACATACGGTACTGAGATCTGTGAAGACGCAATATAATTTTTCATGCGCGCTGGAAGATGCAGCATCTAAACCGCAAGACGCACCGTCATGGGTGTTTGCAGCCCGCTGACTTGCTGCCGAGTGTAACCCGCACGATGACGATGCTATTTCGTAATGTTGCTTTCTTTATTACACTGTTTCGTGGAAAAACACACACACACACTCACACACATACGCATATATATAGGGCATTTCGTTTCCAGCCTATTGCTGAAGATCCCGCCAACACGAAGTGCGTGTCTTTTGGAATGATTCCAATTTTTCAAACTTGAAGCTTGACACCAGTCTCATCCCGTAACGGTTTTGTTTCCCAGATTTTCCAGCTTCACAGTCAACAGAATGGTCTAAGAATGGGCTGCTGAACTAAGCTAGTTGCTCTAGGCGTTATCGGTCGTTTTTCAAAGCCTTATGTTAGTTCTTCGAGCTTACACGTTTTTTTGTATAAGCCTGCTACAGTTCCAAAAGGCTTCTCCCTCAGGTACGGCGTTTATTACGGAACTAGCCTATGCTTATTAGAATGCTCCAAAAATGTCTAACTATGCTTGCCCTCTCAGCCGTCATTAGTCATACCTCTGAATTACTTTTAAGTTTTTTTGTGCTAGTCCACGTTTCCGGAACTTCCAAAAAACTTTTATATTCAAAATTTTCTTTTTAGGAGCGGCTTATAATAGTTAAAGTGCTACGTAAGCAACTTATACAAATTTGCTTGTCCAACAATGTTTCTTCAACGAATCCAACTTTTGTGCACTTTTGGTAGAGTTTTCCCAACAGAGATGTTTCATTCAAAACCCGTCCGCATTCATTAGAATGCTCTTAAAAATGAGCTGCTTCATCAATAAGGAGTCGAATTTTTTTTTTCTTCTTTAAAGTAAGGTCGATCTTTAAAGGAAGGCTATGTTTTTTTTGCAAAAGCCTACTATACGGTAAACAGTTATCTGTCCAGAATGTTCATCCAGGAACTAATCTATAGTCGTTTCTACGCTCCATGAATGAGCTATTTAAGTACGCAAATTTGACGTGGAGTCAGCAGTAGTTTTCCTTCGAGCTATAGATCGTTTTTTCTCCTACGCCAGTCCTCTGTACTTGTTAAAATGTTCTAGAAATGAGCCGTCTCACCGAGCTAGTGCAGTCAGAAGAGCAGAACGTACTTCAGACCCCACCCTCTTTAGGAATTCTTATACTTCACTGAATTACGATTAATGTAGCCATTTCTTGCAATTGAAATATTGAACATTTTCAACAGCAAATAAAAAAAAAATCATCTGTAAATTGATGAAATACGGATATACTCGTAATGGCAGTAATTTCAGAAGGACAAGCGCCCTACTCTTTATAACTGGTCTAGTACAGCTAAATAACTCATTCTTAGAGCATTCTAATATCCATCAGTCGGCTTGGAAATAACCATTTTGGACAAATGAAATCTTTCAGATGTGCACAGATGAGTTTGAGCAAAGAGGAAATGACAACTAGCTTGAAAGAAGTTACCGGTGACTTCAAATCAAACTAAACCGATTTCAGATTGAACATCATGGACAGAAGTTTCCTGAAAATGCAAGAAACGGTG